TTACCTTCAATTAGCTATCTTATTTCAGAAGAATGAATGAAAAAAATGAGGGTAAGTTTTTTTTTTAATCTAGAGAAATTTTCAATCTGTAAAATAATCTTTTACAGTTTTACAATAAGAACAAGTGATCTAAGAATTTTAGAAAAGATAAAATAACAAAATAACAAACAATAGGTTAATTAAATTAAATTATTTACATCAGTTCAGACAGAGGGCTTGGGTGAAGAGGCCAAGCAGTGATGGAACTTCTTAAGTAGGTAAATTTCGATAAAAAAGTGTTTATTTATATCTTATCTGTGTGCAAACACTAAACAGGTATTTAACAATATTGGATTCTAATAACTAGTAATAAGTAACAATAAGTTGAATTTTGTTTTGAATTTTATCAAAAATAAATTACTCGTAAATATTAAATTTCATCGTTAAATTTCAAATGCCAATTTTGTGATTAGAAAAATATTTTTTATATATAAATTTTTTAGAAAAAAATTCTGTATCCGAATATGTAAAAAATATTGGTGTTACCATTTAAAAAAAAAGTAAGTTGTATCGCGCATGCGCGTATCGAAAATGTTAAAAATTTTAAATTTATCTAAAAATGTGTATTTAAGTACTATCTGTCATTCAGCGAAAACCCCATTTCAGTACAAGATCATCGAACTGAGATATTTAGTGGTACCTCTAAGCGTGAACACACATGTTCAATAAACCACACAGGCATGAGGCATTCATTAATTTTACCAATTCTTTTAACTCATTTATTTCATTTTTCATTGCTGAATCTACGTTCTGTTCATTATTAGGCTGACTTGTAATATGGTTAATTATGTAATGTTGCATTTTAGTTTTTAAGATTTCTTTTTCTTTGATTAGTCTTTGTAATTCGGAGTTAGCATTCTTTAATCTCATCGTTTGATTAATTTCAAACATTTCTAAGTTTTGCGTAATTTTTATCTACGGTATCATTATCTTTAGATTCAATTTTCCAAAATATTTCATGGGGTAATCCTTTTAAAATAAATTTAATAATTTGTTTTTCCTGCATATTTTTGTCCACCCTATTACATTCTGATAGGACATTTAATACTTAGTCTTGCATATTTTCGTCTACCTTTTCTAGATCGTTTCTAAAAATGTTCTCTAAGGATTTCAATTTGATCTTCAGAGTTGTAATAATTTAAAAAAGCGTTTTTTACTATTTCCCGTGTTAGAATTGGAATTTTTGTTTCTATTCTTTCAAATAACTTTAATGCTTGTACGAGAACCCTTTAACGTATATTTAAAATAAAACAAAATGTAATATAAATTATTTTCCTTTACTGATGACCTGGCGGCAACAATACAAGGAGCAAGTGGTGAAACAAGACTATAGTTCGGCACATGTTTGTCCAGCAGACCGAACAATTAAATTAATATAATAGTTTTTGTTTACTCATAAAAATTGAAAAATAGTTATACCTATACAAGACCATAGTCAGAAAAATATTTAGGGGGGGAGGTTTAGAGTATAAATATGTTATATTATATAATAAAATATGAAAATCAAGGCTGTTGCCAGAAAAATATTTAGGAGAGGGGGGTAGAGTATAAATACGTTATAAATTATAATATTATATAATAAAATATGAAAATATAAAAATATAATTTAAATTAAATTAATCTTTGTTCTATAACACCAAAAGCCTTAAAATCCCATCAAGCAAAAAAAAATAATGGTTATAACATAGGGTTGGATCCAGTGACGGTTCTATTTACTTTGTCTTTTTTTTTATTTTTATTTTTTATTTAGCCTTTATAAAAATTTGGCTCAATATTTACTTTGTTATTTGTGGGTCAGAGGGATAAAAAAAGATACAAATAGTATAAAAAGTGTGATATCCTAGTAGGTTATGCGAGAACCTAAAAACCATAGCTCTCGAGAAGAGTATAATTTTGAACCTACTACTTTAGAGTTTTATACACAAGTAGGTATTTAATATTTGTATAAATACGTCTGTAAGTTCACGTTCGGTAGTCGGAACTCGGTCAGTTGGGTACTCAATGGTCATATTTCAGATATTATCATGGAGAACAAAAAAAAGTTGACATTATGTTCTTATCATTTTGAGCGCTGATAAATGACCAATATATATGGGCTATTTTTTGTTATGTTTTTTTTTCTCAAGTGCATCTTATCACTGATCGTGTGAATAGTAATTATTACTATAATATGGTAGTATTGTAATTGTACACACTACACTGTAACAGTATACAATAGGAATTAGGATTGAAAGTTGAAACTAAAGTCATCCAAACTTTGTGTTCTCGTAGTTACAAACATATTAATTTTATCATATAATTGATGTTTGATATAAACAATTACTATTATCATTATGTAAAGTCGTGTATCAGTGAAGAGTGAACTCCTTCTGGTTTCAGATTTAAGTCGAATTACAATTATAGATACAATTTTGATTATCGTGCTACTTATAATCGTCTTCATCCTAAACACCATTGTTCCTACATCATATAATTACATAATTATATATGCCAAAACCACCGTAAGTGTTGTCTATTATATTTTATTACCGTGATATTGTAGTGTTCAGTATTCAGTGAAAAATGATGATAGTTTGTACTTTTCAAAACCTAGATATTAAGGAAACACACAGAATTGTATTTGTATACCTACCAAAAAAAATTGTTTTTAAAGTTAATTATTAAAAATATAGTTATTCAATTACATTTTTTTATTTTAATATATTAGGCAAGTTTAGAGTAGGTAGGTACATTATTATACATTTGATGAATTATTCTATTAAACTAAAAATATTTTATCTCATATTAATAAAATTAGAAAGGCAATTAAATTTAACATTATCTATAATTGTTTTAAACATCTATAAGTACTTTTCATAAATAAATATCAAGGAGATCTGATGGCTAGTATAATATTTTTATAGTTACTGAGTTATCTCTATAATTTATTGATTCATACAGTTTTGTATATACTATCATTTGAGAATTTAAAAAATACAATACACCTACCTTATTGGTTTAAATACTGATAGTATCAATCATTATAGTCCTGAGTAGGTGTTTAGAACCTTTTTAAAATACATACATAATATAAATTATTGATTAGGTATTAAATAATAGATGTTAAAATTAATATTTAATGTACCTATTATTATTAGTAATTGTTATAACATTATAGATTTGATTTTTATTGTTACTATCTTTTTATAGGTATCAAGTGGAATAAATATTTTATACAACAATTTTTAGAAGAAACCATGTCTGAATATGATGATGAGGATATGGAGTATTCAGATCAGGATGACTATGAAGATTATTACAATGCTGATCGTGATGTAATGAGTCCACCACACAATCCTGATGCTGAATATTTTCCGGTTCAATGCCTCTCTGTTGACGAGGTTGAAAAGTTTTTGAATGAACTTGTTGAACAGTTGTGTACCAGTATACATGTAACACCATCAATGTCCAAAGTTTTGCTGTATGAAAACAAATGGGCTGTTCAAGAAGTATTATGGAAGTATAATGAAGACGCCGATAAGCTTTTTGTCGCATCCAGAATGAAAACATTACAGCCAGTAACTGTTAAAACTAAAAGAGATAAATTTGTCTGTCCAGTCTGTGTGGGGCCAGTAGCTGAAGGATTGGGAATTACTAGTTTGGCTTGTGGACATTGTTATTGTGATAACTGTTGGTGTTGTCATTTTGAAAACAAAATAAAACAAGGTGTAAGCACAGAACTATCCTGTATGGCATTAAACTGCGAATTACTAGTCCCAGAAGAAATAGTTTTATCGAAAGTTAATAAACCAATTTTAAGAAAAAAATACCAACATTTTGCATTCCGTGAGTATATTAAATCACATCCATTATTACGCTTTTGTCCAGGGGCTAACTGCACAGCAGTAATTAAATCTAAAGAATCTCTTGCCAAAAAAGCTATATGTACACAATGTGAAACTTCATTTTGTTTCAAATGCGGAAACGATTATCATGCGCCTACAGATTGTGCCACCATTAAAAAATGGATTACGAAATGTGCAGATGATAGTGAAACATCAAATTACATCGCAGCTAACACCAAAGACTGTCCTAAATGTAATATTTTTATTGAAAAAAATGGTGGCTGCAATCATATGCAATGTCTAAGTTGTAAATTTGATTTTTGCTGGATGTGTATGGGAGATTGGAAAGCACATGGCACTGAGTATTATGATTGTTCTAAGTATAGAGAAAACCCTCAGAATGGTTCGGAGTCCGCTAGAGCTCGCGAAGCATTAAAAAAATATCTCCATTACTATGAACGTTGGGAAAATCATTCTAAAAGTTTGCAATTGGAAAAACAAACGCTTGATAAAATCAAAGAAAGGATAAATAGTAAAGTGATGACAAGTAAAGGTACATGGATTGACTGGCAGTATCTGTTGGATTCTGCAACTTTACTAGCCAAATGCCGATATACTCTTCAGTATACTTATCCGTATGCATATTATATGGATAATGGACCAAAGAAAGAACTATTTGAATATCAACAAGCCAAACTGGAAGCTGAAATTGAAAATTTATCATGGAAGATAGAAAGAGCAGAAACTACTGATAGAGGTGATCTAGAAAATCAGATGGATATTGCCGAGAAACGAAGAGCTACTATGCTTCAAGATTTTTTCCACATTTAACTAAATAATTTTAAGTTTTATTATTCAATTGTAAAATTATCCTAAATATATTTTTTTTTATAAATAAGTACATTTTTTTTTCATTATTTTAAGAAACTTCTGTATATGTATATTAAGATTCTTTTAATTAAATAATAACTTGGAAGTATTTAAATAATATGTAAAATAAATTAATTTTAAATATTTGGTAATATAATTTATTCATATTATTATATGCTATTATTGTATAAATATTAACTAATAAGTATTCTTTTATAATATTATTGATTAATAATACTTAAATTGATTATTGTTGATAAATTTAGTGTTCAAAAATCTAATACATTGGATGTTAAAAATTATTAAGTAAAAGTAACATATTTTTTCATTCTTATAATAAATCATTAAAAAACTTAACTAACTCAATCTGGTAATATTTTTAGAGCTTTCCAATTATTTGATAAATGAGCCAACTGCCAAATGTCTTGACCATTTTTATCTTTAATACTTAAATCTGAACCATATGAAATAAGGGTCTTGATCACATCCAAATTGGTAAACATTAATACTAAAAAACAAAAATATATTTATCTAAAATTACAATATAGCATTGTATTAAAATATTCATTGTAAGATTTATCTATATCAACTTTTGAAATGTTTATATTACATATATTATTATATCAGTACTTATAATAAATATAACAACTAATTAAGACAATCGACTAAGATTTAAAAAAAATGATTTTTTACAAAAAATTTATTTTCAATTGATAATTGATTTATTAATATTTTTATAACATAAGTAAAGTTACCTGCTCTCATTAATGGAGTCCAACCTTTAGAGTCTACAGAATTTACATCGCCCCAATTTCCTTCCAGAAGCATATGAACAGCATCATTATGAGAACCGTCGACTGCATAATGAAGTGCTGTTTTTGAATTTCTAAATAAAACAATAAATATAATATAAAATATTGCTATTATTGATGAGCCATACGTACATATCTTTTAAAGTAGCATCAGCATCATTGCGAGCCAATATTCTTATTATATCATCATGTCCATGGTAAGCAGCAGTCATCAGCGGGGTAATTCTGGTGAACATGTTTGGTAAGTTCACATTTGCTCCGTATTGCAACAGAGTTAGTACCATATCGTTATGGCCAGCTGCACAGGCTTTGGACAGACCACTCTCACCCAGCTCATTGTAAATGTTAATATCGTGAGCTCTTGTGTCTAAGAATTCCCGAAAGAGTAATGGTAAATTTTGATAAGCACTGTGGTGAAATGCGGTGATACTGGGACACTCATCTAAATAACATAATATAATAAATTAGATGAAATTTAAGTCTGTAGTACAAATTTAACTTGAAAAAAGACTTAGTACTAGTCTCATATAGGTATATCTTATGAAAAAATGAGTTATAAATTGCTTAAATTGTAAATTTTTTAGTTTAGTTAAAGATAACCTTTCAGTGCACGTGAGAAGAAAGCCTACATCGGCATTAGTGCGTTTGTATTACAATATTTTACAATCAAAATGAAATTATATCCTACTTTTTGTAGTACAACTGACTGTGGCTATCCCAATCACAGTATTCTTCGAGCTTGCATTAGGTGACTCCGCCTGCAGCTTAAATTTGTAATTGTGGCCACCAGATAAGTTTTTAACACAAAAATAGTTGTGAAATCCTCTGAAAAATATTTATTTTATAACCAATTAGATATGACCATACTAGATAAATCACGTTTTTAAAGTATAATAAGAATTTGTACCTGTATAAAACCACACAGTTTTCATTGTTTTCATTCATTACTAATTCAAATAGGGGTTTTAGAACATCGTGTGGCCTGTTCCATTCTAAATTAACTGATCGACGATCAATATCTGACAACTTCAAACTCAACTATAAAATATTTCATATGTAAAGTGATCATTCCACATCGTCCCCAAATGTGTATATAGGCCCCCAATCGGTGTATTAAAAATAAAAATTTATTTCTTACTGGAAATTTTATTTTTAAGTAAAATAAAGAAAAGAAAAAGCAAGCTTGATCATATAATTAAAATATAATATAACTTATTGTAGTCAAATAACTTACCAAACAATTTACTACTGTTGACAACTAAATCATTTATACAATTCAACAATTTAATTTGTAATCAATAATATATATAGCTATATTAATGTAATAATTCATTTCTATTTTGCAACTGCATTAAAATTAGAGCCGTAATATAATTATTTAGTCTATACTTTTTGTGCAAATGTTTTATCCAAAATTTAAATTACATTTTCAGATTTTCATTGATAATTGTTATGTTGGAAAAATGGATTAGAAGAGGCCTGTTCAAGTTGACTACATATGCTCTGTAATTCTTTAAAAATAGTTGTGTTCATGTTACACTTCACTTTAAAATATTGTGAAAAAATATTAGAATGATGTCTATAAAAATGTTAAGCCCGTTGAAAGTAAATATCTATTAGACTACCTTCCATAATAATATAAATGCAGGCTATCATATCATATTTATGGCAGGTAAACGCTTTTTGGAAAAATAGATTTTAGCGGTGTTTAGGGAGAGGGGGTGCTTAGAGCTCACCATTCTGCATATTATTAAACTTTTGTTTACTATAACATTACTTAGATATCAGGTATCACATAGAACTAATCGTAGACTTCTATCAAAAAACAGGTTACACTGGTTTTTAACCTGTTGTTCATAAGTAGGTGCACAAAGAGCTTTATTATCAACATAGCACCCACCATAAAAAACCTACATCTGCCACTGGTAATAAGCCAATGGGTATACATACCTAATATAATATTCTGAAAAATATTTGTCTGAGAATTTTGATGCTACCTACAAATTTAATTAAATTAGAAGGTAGTTAATTAGTTATTAACAGCAGAAGTGTGAACTATATTTATTTAAAAGTCAAAGTAAACCTATTTGTCTACATGCACCCAAATTATACCACATTATAACATGTTTTTGGGGGCTTCCCTATGTACTCACCTTAAATACCATATTATTCCTTTGCAAAAATAAACTTGAAGTGTAATACTTTTTAATGACAAATATTCATTTTCTTATAAAACGAGTTAAGCACTTACACAAATCTATAATATAGAAATAATAATTTATATGCAGGTACTAGCACGGCCTTAGAAGATATCTTCTAAGACCGTGGGTATGAGTATACTACTCGTTTGTTCCCTTAGCAACCACGGTTGTTGTAATCATTAATCACTTACTTGCATAAAATGGTAAAACAGTAAATATTTAGGATGATGAATGTTCATTCTAATTTTATATTTGTGTTTAATTAAAAAAATATAACTTACAATGCTTGCTACACAATAACAAAATCAAAATTTTTAAAACAATCCGGATATATTGGTTATCAATAAATAGGGCGGTGATTATTGTCAATCAGCAATGACCTTTTTTATGAATTTTATAATATTATAGCTGTGTTACCAGCAATATGTATTGAATATTACTATGGTTATTAAGTTCAAATGGCTATCGTTCACCAACACATTACCACTAACATTTATATTTATTTACGGGACAGTACATGACCATTTTGTTCATATATTATAAATCCTAATCAATAGGTTTGGTAGTAATTATTATTTGTAATATAATGACAACATAATATTAATAAAAATAAACATTTATAATCTCAAATAATATTTATAATAATATGTATAATATTTAAACAATAAATATAGTTCATTTGATTGGTAACTCTAAAACGAATTAACAAAAATAAATACTCTGTATACAATTTTTTTTTTTTACAAATTTGTTAGTTACAATATTTGTGTTGTTGAACTTTGACTACAATAAATAATTGAGCCAGTAAAATTTAACACAGCCGCTAATATGAAAACCGGAAACCAACGGCCATGAGACGCAGTCACAAGTTCTGCTGTGAGAGGACCAGATAGTATTCCTGGTATGGTAGCCTAAGATATTTAAAAAAAAAATCAAGTTAAATAAACCTATTTTAAAATATAAATATTCAAGTTAATGATAAGTATTAAATTTGAACTGATAACTATGATTCTTAAAAATAAAATTTATAATTTATATATACAATATATTAAATCAAATTTACCAGCGTATTAGATACTGAAAATGTAATGCCTGCATGATTAGGAGCCACATCAGAATGATTACTTAAATGCCCAGCTGAATTACAAGCACATAGTCCCATTGATATAGAAATGAATCTACCACATAAAATAATTTTATTTTGTAGCAATCAATAGACTATAAAATATAATATAAGTCTTCCTTACATTATTGCTGCTGCTAAGCTATTCACTGTACAAAATAGAATTAAAAATATTGCTGGACCTACAAGACCTATAGTCGTCATTAGTCGTCGAACACTTAAAACTGACCATCTACGATCAATTAGTTTATCTGCATAATTTCCTGCAACTATAATTAAGCTAATTTATTAAAACTGAATTTTAAGGAATAAAACATTATATTATATGAAACTTAAAACTACTTTAAATTCAAGATTTAAAATTGAAAAATGTACAAATACAGATTTCAATTTTTTTCATTTAATTATGTTGCACATAACTTAGGTATACATATTAAATGCAGTGAAGGTCTATGTGATTATTGAAATGTTTATCATTATAAATGAATCGGCAATATTAAGAGTGCACTAGATACCTCCAGTGACATGGTTGAGTGTCACCACAATACTGCCGCACCTAGAGTTATTTTAAGGGTAGAAATCATCATTGGAACAATATAAAAATGGTTATTGCACATTAGTACAATAGTATGTGGTGGGTCGCCAAAGTTTTCAAAATGGATCAAACCATAAGAAGCTTAGGAACCTCTGGTCTAGGTGGTTCAACATCAAAAAAATGTTACATACATTATGCATACATAATTTTGACATTATGTACACATCATATAAGTATATGGACAAGTTTAAATATAAAGTAATGCCTATTCAATAATTTCACTCAGAAGTGACAATAATGAGAACTCCGTGAGTACATTTTTAGGTGAGATAACACATTTTACGAACTTATCCAGGCCATTAATCATAAACCACATGTACCCAAAAGAAATATTAATTAGTTAAAATTGAAATATTTAAATTTACACTAATTCATAGTTGATTTGATTTGACATCTATCTTATAATTTTTTGAATAACCAAAGCTTACCAATACCAAACACCGAATTGAATATATATGGAACAGCTGTCAAACTAATACTATGTGAATTAGCACCAAGGTAACGCAAATACGTGGGTAGCCAATGCATTATTAGGTAGTTGGACCAATTCATTGTAAAGTGAGCTATATATATGGCCCATAAAGGCCAATATATAAAGAATTTCCTCCAATGTATACTAGAATACTATATAAAAAATAATAGGTTTTATGTAATACAATAGTAAAATATGTAATAAATATTAATTCAATTATAATAATGTAAATTATTGTTAATAAGGAGATTGGTTACAAATATTTTATAGTCTTATCTTTCGCATGAGCTACATAGTAACAAATTAAAAGCTACCCATTTTACATCCATCAGTCTCACATATATACAGAAGCGATAAATACTATAAAAGCAGACTTTAATTAAGAGTTGCGAGGAAATGAAATCAATTAGTCATTACTTTTATAAATCAAACATTTAGAAATTCAGGAGTGAAATTTCAAAATAAAGACTGTACCATTCCATGTACACTTCATGCTGAATTAAAATCAATTTCTATAATATTTAGTTATATATTAATTTCACTACATTCTACATACATTGAGCTGATGGACACAAAATCAATAGTTTTTAAGTTTCAAGTGTGAAAGACAGTCAGCAAATATCAGTACCTTATATGGTTATACACAAGGCTGGACATTAACCAGTTAAAAAGTTAAAATTAAGTTCAATTTATTCCACTTCATTAAGTATTTTAATTATACTGCCACGTTAATTTATTTGATTTCCTAAGACCATGGATTTAAAATAGGTATTCAATTTTGTGTAAAAGAAAAATTTTGTGTAAAAGAAAAAAAATAATCGAAAGTATAAATTACCTAAATATTATTTATAAATATAATAATTTGTAATAATAGTTATAAGTTTATGATGTTGCATATTCACAGAATATATTTTAAATATTAAAAGCAGACAAGTTAAAGAGGTAACCACATCATTGAGAAAAGAAAAATATAACTATTTTCTCAGTATTCCATACACATTAGTACACTCATTAATATAGATTAATTATTAGTTATTACTTGTCATTAGAGGCCAGATTTATATTTGCTTAAAATCTTAAAAATAAGATGTTTCTATGCTTTATAATTTCATCAAAATAATCTTTTAAAATATGCATAAATATTCTTTTTTGGAAAAATATAATTTTTCATAAAAATGTGTTAAATACTGAAAAAACAAATAAAAGTAACAATTTAAAAAAATATTCAAACAATAATAATTAGTCATAGGGGGCCCAGATCGCTCCTCCCACTTCGCCCCCTCCCTTGAAACCAGAGCTGCTACTCTCAGTAAAAATATGTAAAAGCATACAAATCCGGTCTCTACTTATCATTTTATTATTTTTATGCATTCATTGAATTACAGTTGAATAAAATTATATTTTATATTGTAGATAATTAATTATATTATAATAATTAATTTGGTAACTATTTTATTTATTTATTCTTCAAGAAGATAATTGGCTTCACTGAACATGTGATAATTTAGTATTGTTTTTGTGGACCATTAGGTAAACAAATACATAAAAATAATTCTATTATTGGATTTTATCATTGATTAAAGTATCAAAGTATATAAGTACTAGCAACAATTTATTTAAAACTGTAATACCTCTATTAAATTACTATGATATTTGTTAGCCTTAAAAATAGGTATCATTTTTAATTGTATAAGAATAAAAAAGTAACTGATTTGAAAACTAAGTTAGAAAAGTAACTTTTAATTTTAAAGTTTAAACTTAACTTACATTTAGTTAACAAGTTAAAAAAAATAGTTAACTTGCCCAGCCTTGGTAATATAGGTATATCGGCTATTTTGTCATATGTTCTCTACTGGCGACATTGCGACTGCGTATGCACACTACTGTTTTTGCCACTTCACAGCAGTATTTAAATAGTATTATATTCTAAGTGGAAGATGTAAAAGTGGTTTCAATGACAAACTAAATATACTCAAAGCTTAAAGTATTATTAAAAATTATTATACTATCAACGGCACTGTCATTGCCTCGTCATTTATCATTTACATGTGTTTATAAATTTTGTTCATTTAAAATATAATTAATAATTAGAAAAAAAAAATATTAAATTATTTTTGTCATGTCCCTTGAAAAGGTGATAGTATAAAATTCTATTAAGAGGAGGTGTCACCCGCATGTGTTGTCTCCATCTAACAAGTGCGTAACCTATCAAATTTTGCACTCTGTTAGTTTAAAAATTAGAGTGAATTGACCTCTTATAAAATTTAAAAGTAGATTATTATCTAGGGCATCGGATATGCTTTTAATTATATTTTAATTTTAAAGTGAGTTATGAGTATTAACAAGATGTACAAACAACTAACAATTTTAAAATACTAGTAACTAAGCCCATGAGATACCCTAGATAATAATCTTACCTTTAAATTGTATAAGAAGTCAATTTAGACTAATTTTCAAACTAACAGAGGTAAACATGATCTACTA